CAATAAAAACTAGGCCGGGTGCCGTGGATCACACCTGTAATCCCAGCACTTTGAGAGCCTAAGGTGGGCAGATCACAACGTCAGGAGTTAGAGACCAGCCTGGCCAACATGGTGAAACCCTGTCTCTACTAAAAATACAAAAAAAAAAATTAGCCAGGCATGGTGGTGTGTGCCTGTGATCCCAGCTACTCAGGAGGCTGAGTCAGGGGAATCAATTGAACTGGAGAGGCGGAGGTTGCAGTAAGCTGAGATCATGCCACTGTACTCTAGCCTGGGCAACAGAGCAAGACTCTGTCTCAAAAAAATAAAAATTAAAAATACGCTAGGTGCAGTGGCTCATGCTTGTAATCCCAGCACTTTGGGAGACCGAGGCAGGCAGATCACGAGGTAGGAGATCGAGACCATCTTGGCCAACATGGTGAAACTGTGTCTCTAGTAAAAATACAAAAATTACCCAAGTGTGGTGGCTCTCCTGTAATCCCAGCTACTCAGAAGGCTGAGGCAGGAGAATCTCTTGAACCCGGGAGGTGGAGGTTGCAGTGAGCCAAGATCACGTCACTGCACTCCAGCCTGGTAACACAGTGAGACTCCATCTCAAAAATAAATTAATTCAAAAATAATAAAATAAAAATATATTTTAAAAAACTAGTTTATGGCTTCATTTCTCTGTACTTAACGTTTTAATTCACCAGAATTTTGTTTCATGGTCCTCCTCCCTCAGACTAGGGTTCCTCCCTCCAGCAGAATATAAATTCTCAAGGGACCTCCAAACTAGCCCCAGGGAATATCACCCTAGGCTAAGGCCTCCAGTTACAGGAGGTGTCCACTGGCTCTCCCTGTGTTCTGCCGTCCAGGATCCAAGCGAGTGGCCATCTTGGTGCCCAGGGCAAGTCCCAGGTACAGAATACCCTGCTCCTGAATCCTCTGCCCTCTTGAGATCTCTCGGGGTTGCCAGGCCTTTGCCAGCCCTCTGGAGGCAGTTGATGAGGTTCTGTGGGCCATATCTTCCACACAGAGCCCCCAGGAAGGGAACCACTCAACCTGTTCCATCTGGGCCAGACCATTCTATTCAGATAATGCTTGACACTTCACGGGAGTGCTGGCCTGAGAACCACTTCCCAGGCTACAATCACAGAGAGGTATGGCTTTATCTTCATGGTGGAAGGCACTAATACTCACAGGGCCTGCAGTTGGCCATCCCCTGACCATAGTTGGAAGTGGGGCCTTTCAACAGAGCCTGGTGGCAGGAGGTTCCTGGAGGCCCGTTATGGGGGAAGAGGGGGCAACAGTGGAAGGAAAAGAAGGGAGTTAGTAGTTTAGCTATCGAACCTAATAGCATTCCCATTTCACCACCAGCCTGGCCAAGGCACAGTGGGCAAGAAAGAGTGAGAGAGGCCAGAACGCGAAGAAGCCACTATGATGAAAGGGAAAAGAGGAGGTGGGTGAGACCACCAGCTGGCCCAAGTGTCTTCCCTCTGCAAAGGTGATACACGAGCAAGGGAGGAAGCCCTTTTCCCAGCTGAGGGGGCACCAGCAACTGGGAGCTGACGCCCAGCTCCCTGAGGAAGCCAGAGCACCCTGGAGAGCAGGCGGAATCCGTGATCAACGCGGGAGGAAGCTCTCAAGGGGAATGGGTGACGTGAGACGCCTGGGGGAAATTTGGATGCAAGATGCTCGGAGCCCAGATCTCTCAAAGTAAAGGTGATGGCTGGCTGCTGATTCTCACCTGAATATCTGGAGAGCAAAAGGGAGAGAGGGAATGGGCTGAAGAGGAAAAAAAGGCTTTAGAAAAACCCCTGAAAACAGCGACCAAGCCCCAGATGTGTGATGAATAGATCGTCTGGCAGAGACAGGCTAGTTAAAATAATAGTCACATACATAAAAGTAATTTGCTTGCCAAAGAAGTGTTCCTCCAAGTTATGGGTTCCACCACTTCTGTTCCAAGAAAATTCTGTCAGAAACAGGCCCCTAAACTGAAGGGGGGTGGGCAGAGAGAAAGGGGAAATCTGTCCCCACAGCCTGGACTCCAGGGAAAGGTGATAGCCCAGAGACACATTTTGCCTAGGGAAGCCCAAAGAGGGCTAGACGGGCTGGATATTGTCACTGAATATTTAAAACACACTGTGGGCGCATGGAGTAGAACAGAGAGCAAGGGTGCAAGTTCCAGGGAGGCAGATTTGGGGCTCATCCAAAGCTGTCAAATTTGTAGAGTTCCTTGGGAGGCAACCAATTTCCATAACTGGAGATTACTTATGTGGACGGCTGCAGGAGTCCCAGTACTGGCAGGCCAGGTAGCAGCTCACCTGTGAGGTCCTTTTTCCATTGTTAGGAAACTGCAAAGTTCCTCCCCTTCTACTTCCAGCACTCTGGGGAAGCCAAAAGAATTCAGAATGACCTTCACTCTCATTTGTACACCTAGAATACACACATAGGCTGGGCACTTTGGGAGGCTGAGGTAGAAGGATCACTTAAGCACAGGAGTTCGAGATTAGCCCGGGTAACATGGCAAAAACCTGTCTCTACAGAAAATCAAAACATTAGCCAGGTAGGGTGGTCTGTGCCCATACTCCCAGCTACTTGGGAGGCTGAGGTGGGAGGATCAGTTGAGGCAGAAAAGTCAAGGCTGCAGTGAGCCACAATCATGCCACTGCACTCCAGCCTGAATAACATAAATCTTGTCTCAAAAAATAAAACACATGGCCAGGCACAGTGGTTCACACCTGTAATCCCAGCACTTTGGGAGGCTGAGGTGGGCAGATCACCTGAGGTCAGGAGTTCAAGACCAGCCTGGCCAACATGGTGAAACCCCATCTCTACTGAAAATACAACAATTATCCTGGCATGTTGGCACACACCTGTAATCCCAGCTACTTGGGAGGCTGAGGCAGGAGAATCGCTGAAACCTGGGAGGCAGAGGTTGCAGTGAGCTGAGATTGTGCCATTGCACTCCAGCCTGGGCAACAGAGCAAGACTCTAGCTCAAAAAAATACAACACAACATGCATACACATATGCACACACCAGTAAGTGCTAGAACAGTGAGCTTTATTGTTCTAGCAACGGCCAGGCACCTTTGGCCAGGCAATGCACAGCAGGCACACAGCACAGGCTCCATGCGTGATCCTGAGTTGACGTGGTCTGTAATGCCTTTCCTTCACTGAGGTCTGTCATTTCTTTCGTGTTCTGAAGTTATGAGCCCTATATGCTGACAAAATATGTGCAAGGTAGGTCTGCTGTGAAAAACCAAAGGAAAACATCCTAGATGTTTAACATGTGCCACTGAGCCAGGCAAGGTGGCTCACACCTGTAACCCAACACTGGGAGGCCAAGGAGGAGGATCGCTTGAGCCCAGGAGTTTGAGACTAGCCTGGGCAACATAGTGAGACCCCATTTCTACAAAAATTAAAAATTAGTGAGGCATGGTGGCATACACCTGTAGTCTCACCTACTTGAGAGGCTGAGGTGGGAGGATTGGTTAAGCACTGGAGGTCGAGGCTGCAGTGAGCTGTGACACACTACTGCACTGTAGCCTGGGTTACAGAGCAAGACCCTGTCTCAGAAAAAGAAAAAAGAAAAGCCACTGAGGATTGAGGGGCTTTCAGGGAAGTGGTCCAGGAAACAGAAGTGAAGACTAGCAGACAATTAGGGATTAGTGGTTGTCCTATGACATTATAAAGAATGTTCATAAACATCCCTGAAGCCACCCAGACTTGGCCAACAATTGTATGAATTATAATTGGAAGAAGCCAGAGTAAAGACAGGTCTGACATTAGGACAAGTGAAAGATGAGCCAACGACTGCCAGGGGACGTTGCCAGCAATGCAGCTCAGTGTGGTCTACACATCTGCTCCGACTCCGGGCGTTGGCTTCAGTTGATGCTGCTATTTCCAGGACCCCACCCCCTTGGGATATTCCTCGAACCCTGCTGGGGGAGAGGCTCGCCCCTGATTCTTGATGTTGGGCTACTATTCCAGCCTTAGGGAGTAAGCAAATTCACCAGAAGCCACTGCCTCACATTTCAGCATCACCAGAGTCAAACTGTGGGCTAACGAAGGCAAGTGACTTGCTCCAAGTCACAGTCAAAGGCAGGAATGAAAGCCAGACCTCCAGATAGGCTGGTCCACGCACCTTCTCCATCTTTCCCTTGCCTCCCTCAGGAATCCCCAGGCCCCCAGCTAGCAGGTGAAGCTGGTTCCTGTACGGACCTCTCTTGCTGTGCACCATCTCACTGCAAAGGAGGACTGGTGAGAATTTGCTTAACAGCAGCCCCTACTTACGGGCGAGGAGCAGGTCACCTCGAAGCCCCAAAGGAGCCAAGGTGAATCTTGCCTGTATCCCAGCTACACCGACTTGTGCAACCCTCCAGGAGACACGTGTTTGCTCACTCAAACCCTCACCTAGTGCCTACTGTGGTGCCGGGTCCTGTGCTAAGGATACTCAAGGGAGAAGAGAGTTTATAATCCCTGCTGTCAGGGAGCCTCCAGGTTAGAGGGAGACAGACTAACTGAATAATCTCGTTAATGAATATACAATTACAAACTGAAATTGGTGCTCCTAAGAGCAGGAACACAGTTCAACAAATGCTATGTAAGAGAGGCCTGACCTGGGGACTGCTGAAGAGGAGCCCCTGGCTGGAACCTGGAGGAGGAAGGCGAGTTAACTGGCTTAGTGGAGACAGAAGAGCCTGTGTAACCCCACACTTCGTGGGTAACTAAGCGAGGCGTATTCTCTGCAGGCGCAAGGGGAAGGGATTCACCGGCGATTTGTTCTGGGAGAGCCTCAGTGTAGACCCAGGCTGACAATGCAGTCGCCACACAAGAGGTCAGAAATACACTTACTTCTTTCTCTTCTTCTCAGCACGATAGTGGCACAAGAGCTTCTCAGGAAACCCTAACCTTTCAAAAACAGTGATTACAGAAGCTATGACACTGCAGATGTTTGTCAGAGCCAGTGACACTCGCCAAGGCCAAGGGGGCCCGCGCAGAGGGAGACCACAGCACATTTGCTCTAGCAGCATTTTTATTTACAAACAGCAATGTCCATTGACTTTATTTATACCATAAAAAAGCCATTTACAAGCAAGAAACAAGAATTCAGAACAAAATTAAGCAGCACTGAAATATTCATGTCACAAATCTAAAACAAAGTGAATACAAGAGTAAAATATCATTTGAATAAATAGTCTTAAATCCATGCTATAAAATAATCCTTAATGGCAAGTTACTAGTTGATACAGCATCCGCTTAGCTAGCTTCATTTACTTCATATGGTGATGAAGTGTGGAGTTGTGAGGTTACCAGTTTATATTGCAAGATAATGACACTGTGTTAAGTCATTCAAATTGCTCAACCATTTATAACGGAAAAAAATGTTAGCCCTACTAATAAAAGTGGTGAGAGAGATGGTTTTCACATTAGGAAAATGGTCATTCTCAAACAAACCAGGTAAGTTTACCTCTTACAATAGTCAGGGCAGCAACCAAAGGCTTGGGCAGCAAGTCCAAAGGTTGAATTCACAGCATACTTGTCACTGAGGGGCAGCAAGAGGTCTGTGTACTGAATCTGCTACAAGGAGCGCCAGGCGAGGCTGACTCCAGGACTTGATCAAGAACTACAATAGCCCTGTCTGTGCCAGACCCAGGGAGGAAACCAGAGAAAGCAGGTTCTCTTCTGGGCCGAGAAGTCAAGCACTGGGCAGAAACAGTGGGAACACTCTGGCACTTACTGAAAAAGACGCATGTGACATGTGACAACCATTACAAATTTGGAACAATGTGAATGACTTTTCTGAACTTTTAGTTCAGTTGCACTGAGTAATATGAAATCTATGATTTATGAACTAGTTTCATATAAAGAATTTACATAATTCCCCAATACTTTCATATATAAAATTTAATAAATAACCCTGACCAGTCTAGAAGCACCATTCAAGGGGCATGTGCCCTTGGAAAATAGTTTAGGTGTTGCATATTTGAGTCCCTTTCAGTGGAGGCTTCACAGGAAACCATTATAGAATTTAACATTAACGAGGACGACGACGACAACAACAATCACAGTAACTAAGAGAAAAGCTGATAAAATAAAATACACTGATCTCTTTAAAGTAAAGCTCATTCACAGAGATGATGTTCCCCCCAGCCCTTGTTTTGTGTTCCTGCAAATTCTTCCTACCATCTAGGCTGTAAGAACAAAAATCAAAACAAAACCACACAAAAATATGCAGGTCTATATGGTCCGGGCTAAGGGAAAAACAAAGAGTTGGTTATATTTGCTATCATTAGAAAAGACATGTACTCATGCTCTGGAAGATTTAAAAATTATCAATTTCGTTCTACAGTATATTCTGCTCAACAGTGAACTGACAGTATCCTTTCTGCTGTTATTAAAAAAAAAAAAAAAAAAAAAAAAACTAAACTAAAAAAACCAACAACAAAAACCACAAATGCCAAGGCAGAGCCAATTGGTTGGGAGGCTTTCCACTGACCAGAAAATTAACTTGTCTCCATATACCGTATTTACAAATATAATTTCTAAATGTATTTACAGCTTTAGTAGAAATTAGAGGGTAGAGAACTGATTAGAATGAAAATAACTGTTTAAAACCACAAAACATTAGTAAAAGTATAAAATTCTTTGTCTTCACAGTTTGTAATAACAGGCTAAATATCTCTAGAAAAGGACGCTGTCACTGTCTTCACATTGTCTAATATTGAAAAGGTAGGTCAAGAAGAGACTCAATTATGAACAAGCCTATATGAATTCAGGATATATTTTACTGTAAAAGATTTCTTCACATATCACTTTATCTTAATTGATTTCTGCATCTGTTATAAATGAAACACCTAACCTAAAACTGTACAGAAATAGGGACTTTGCTTTCCAAAAAGAGTTGCTCTAAGGAGTTACACAGCGTACTTCGTCTGTGGAGACGTGAAGTGAACTTCAGGGAGAGAATGTTTCGGTTCTGTGGTCATGTTAATCCTCCTAACACATCCTCATGTGGCAAGGCACAATTAATTGCTGCTGCCCGATCTGAATGGAGTTAATCTCTCACCAGTCACGCCCCTGGGAAGCATGACAGTGCGAACGCTCAGAGAGGCTACACAGCTCCGTGCTGGCCTAGGCGCTGCCTCCCTCGAAGCCCTGCGGAACTTTACAGTACTGTGTTATGGCTTGAGAATTCATTCTTAACACTGCGAGCAGTGGAAAGGGTAAAGTGTTAGCAACACGAATGGGAGCAAGTGGAACTTGCAAAATGTGGAATCGATTTTAGAGAGAAACTCAATCAATTTTCTGCCCCTTAACAGTCCCATTACAATGTTTGAACCTGAACTGTACAATCAAAGCAATGGATATTTTTGTCAAAGACAATTTTGGATAAGTCACTCTTTGGTAAACTCAAACCAGTTAAACAGATTCACAAATACAAAGAACTCCATGTAAATAAGGTTAAGACGGACAATGCCAAGAGCCAGGACGCTGGAGGTGCCCGCGCCAGGTGCTCTCCCTCCTCACTGTCTCTCATACCACGGAATGCTCTGGAGACTTCACTGAAGGCCCCAAGCCTGAGTGAAAAGGGGGTTCCTTCCCTGAGCTTGACCTCGTATGTCCTTGGATTTGGGCATTTCTTGTCACAAACTTAATTTGTATCACAACACAATTTTTTTGCATTCAATTAAAAAAAAATCAAAACCAAACTTATTCATGAAAGGAAAAAAAAAATCACAAACATTTACCTGAAACCCCAGAACATATTTAAGTGGGTAAACACTTGGGGTCCAGCCTCCCCTTGAGGCACGTGGCTTTAACAGGAGTTGAGCAAGTGCTTCAGGGAGAGAACAAACCCCTACTTAGGCAGTTTGACGAGGAAAAAGGCATACTATATACCCGATTTAGCAAAAGCCGCTCCTCGGGAGCAGCGGGATTAGAGTGTATCTGTACGGAGTTAACACTGATGTGTAGCGCAGCAGTTCACACGTGAACAGATCCTGTGTGCTAAAGAGATGCGCCTGCACAGCTGCCACCCCTGGGGGCTATTACACACAAAGGGCTTGAATGACTTTTTTTTTCTCAAAACAAAAACAAAAACCAATCCACCCTTGGTATTTTAAGAGCCAAAAAAACATAGAAAACCAGCAAACATCTAATTCTGTATTCCTTTAACTTCAAGCCTCTGAGGCTGGTTCTTCATTGGTTTTGCTTTTAGGTGGCTGCACTGTTCACCTATGGAAATACACTGGTTGTGCGTCTCAGAGCCCAGGTTCTCAGGCAGATACCAGAACACTGACATCCGACAGGCAGCCTGCAGCACAAACTCACCACCAAACCGCCCACAAAATTACTCTCTGCCAGAGTTTACAGTACCGAAGCAATCTTGTAAAGCCTGCTTGTGTATGTGAACACAATACAGAACTGAAGACGTTTCCGAAAGTACTAATAAAACATTATTCAAATAGGACTTGGGTACATTTTCATACAGTAACGTGTTTGCCGGCACATGCTTTTGAGGTCTCTTTTCAAGCAATGAACTCAAGAGAGAAAAACAATTATAATTCATTATTACCATTAGATTTCACATTTTCTACAACTATACTGACCTAAAAAGACACTTAACAAAAATAGCACCACATGACCAAAAAATGGTGACACACAGAGTATCTTAGAGGGCTTTTAAACTGTTGGTTCTTTAAGCAGGAAACACTGAGAGAGTGGGGGAGCCACTGAGGCTCTCGTTAGCACACACAATACTAAGATAGATATATTGCTTGCAATTCCCATAGAGTATAGCTTTACAAAAAGTACAAATTCTAAGTTCTGCAGTTTCCCTGGGAACTGCATGTAGAAAAAGTTGCTGTGCACCTGAACTGGCTGTTTGAAAAGAGAAAGGAAACAAAAAAAACGAAACCAAAACAAAACCCAAAAAAAACCCACAACACTGCTTGGAGAATTTTGTAGACAGAACTACAAATCCCTTTCCTTAAGTGCGAGTGAGTCCTAACTCATGATAGAGAGTGATTCGATTTAGTTACCTGGTATGTATGTTTCTACAGTACGGAATGAAGGTAGATTTGTAGGCCAGTAAAAACCTTGAAAACCACTGCTCCTTTGGGGTTGGCTAATATAACACTACACTATGTAAAAAGGTCAGCACCACAGGTCATCCAGCTTACCTGCTGGACAACTAACAAAAATTCCAAACGGTTTCCAACTAGAGTTGAAGAAATTTTATGGCATTTGGTTTATGTATTGTTACGAAGCAGAGCTGTGAACACTGTGATTTGCTTTGCTTGCTTTTGGACACAATGCTTAATATAAACCTACTAACATTCTTTTTTAAGGAAAATGAAGGGGCAAAACCCTAACATAGTAGGTAGGGATGAGACAGACTCAAAAGCCCTGTTCACATTGTATTAAATTATATATTCCTCTTACATTCACCTCAACCAGAATAAAATCAAATTTGAGAATGTATATATACTATATATATAATAATAGTTTTATTATATATATATATAAATTGTCTACCCCCTAAAAGGAATTTTAAATTAGAAAAGGTTACCCATTTGAATCAGCTGACGGCATCCTAATCTCTCTCCATGGACGTGCACTGCTGCCAGCGCACACAATGAGAGAGAGTATGCCTCTTGGCAGAGAATGGAGGGTCAACCAGTTGGCATAGCTAAATCACTGGCAGATTTTGGATTAAGAGTTCAGCCAAAGAGGAATACTGTCAGCCTGTGTTTTCCCTGGATGCGTTGCCCTTCATGCTTTGAGCTCCTTCGGGGAGGGAGGGCAGGGGAAAGGATAAACACAACGAAGTGTTCCATCCAGAAACTTTAGAAAAACTGCCAAGAGACCAAGAGATTTCCAGATGGTTGGGAAAACCAAAGATTACAACAAAGCAAATCACAAATATGCATTGATTAATGTGCTTTGTTTGGGTGCACTTCTTTACCATCTTAATCGGGAGCATCAGACACTGTGTGAATTTCCATCCGGGAATCTAGGCCCATCTCTGAGGCTGATGCATCATTTTCTAGTTTCTGTTCCACGTACACATCTGTTCTCTCAGGGGACTCAATGCGACTCCTGACTTCAGCAACGCCCGGGTGGTTTTTCCGCAGGTGCTGGTTGAGGGTACCTTGGAATGGAAAGCACTTCCCGCAGATCTCACAGCGGAATGGTTTATCATCTGTGTGGCCCCGGATGTGGTACTCCAGTTGGTCCTTCCGTGTGTACTTCTTCCCGCAGAACTTGCACACAAAGGGGGTGATTCCCATATGGAGTCGCATGTGCCTGTCAAGGCTTCCTTTCTGGTTGAAGGACTTTCCACAGTAAATACAGATCAACCTCTCATTGTACGGGTACCAATGCCCTCTCGCACTCCTCTCCCGGGGACTGCTCTCATACCCGGGGTTGTTCATCATGGCATCACTGTCAGAGCCCTGCACCAGGCCCTGTAGGTCACTGTGCAGGTGGACAGACAAAGCCCGCTTCTGGCGGGCACGCCCTCCTCGGAAACAGCTCAGCATGGACCTGGATGGGCTGGAATTACTCAAACTTCCAAAAGCTTCTGATACATTGGTTGGCTGTGAGGCTGCTTGGGAATAGGAGTACGCATGCTGGAGCACAGAACCATAGGAGCCCACATTCACTGCCACAACTTGTTCCCCATCAACCATCTCAGTGTGGTACCCATCATCACCCAGGGAAGAGCTATCGGAACAGCTGGGCCGGTCGGACTTCTCCATCTTCACTTTCACCTCGGTGATCTGGCTCTCCCTCACCAATAGGTCTCCTTGCTCATGGTCCCCCTCTATCTGAATCTCATACTCAGAAACGCTCCCACTGCTCCCACGGTCTGAGTGTCCCTCCTCCTGTAAGCGGCTGCGCAAAGCTTTGCTGGGGGTCGTCTCCATCCGGAGGTCACTGCTTGCGGTGGGCTGCCGTCCCTGAGAGCAATATGGAGGAGAGATCTCCACTGGGTTGGCAAAGAAGCTGCTGTCTTTCACTCCGTTTCGACTCTCGGGATTCTCTTCAGCACCGACGGTAACAGAGTCAACATCTCCAACGCTGATTTTGGAATGGATGCTCTCTAGGATCTGCGTGCACTTGTCAATGACACACTGCATCTGAAGAAAGCTGGCTGCAGTCAAAAAACTGACAACATCCTTCAGCTGCAAGGACATTCTTCCAGTGTAACAAAAAGAAAGCAACTGCTCAAACACATTGGGATTTTTAATCACTGATATTGACAAGCCACTCATGGTACTTAATGCTGAATGGTCCCGGAAATATGGGGAGCTGGCAGCAAGGACTGCTTTGTGGGCTCGGAATGGCTGACCCTGAATGTGTACAATGATGTCACATAGTTTCCCTTGCAGGCGGAGTTCATTTAGCTGGCTCAGAACGGTGCTGCTGTACTCGGGCACATCAAACTGAATAAAACTGCTGCTGTCCATTTCTACTGACATGAAGCGTACTCTGCGGAGAGAGAGAGTTTGCATCATTCACCAATGACTCCTCACTAAGTACAAGTGGCATAAACACAAGCTTACAACAACAATACCATGTGGCTATCATACCTCCTAAATTCTACACAAAGCTTTCTTCCTCTTGTTTTAGTCTTTCATGTTTTGGTTAATTCACCTACAGCCAAATAAACGAATGCTCAATTAGCCTAGTGGCATAGTTGCCTAACATTCATCTTGATCAAAAGTAAAACATTTTACACATAGTAGGGCTATTTGGGCTCTGACTGAAAAATTGGTATCCTCTTAGGAAAAATATTTCCCCGTTTCAAGTACTTTTGAGGGTTTGAACTACTTCGTGAAAAATAACTAAATTCAGGCCAGGCACAGTAGTTTAAACCTGTAATCCCAGCACTTTGGGAGGCTGAGGCAGGCAGATCACCTGAGGTCAGACCAGCCTGGCCAACATAGTGAAACCCCGTCTCTACTAAAAATACAAAAATTAGCCGAGTGTGGTGGCGTGCGCCTGTAATCCCAGCTACTTAGGAGGCTGAAGCAGGAGAATCGCTTGACCCTTGTAGGCAGAGGCTGCAATGAGCCAAGATCGTGCCACTGCATCCCAGTCTGGGCAACAGAGTGAGACTCCTTCTCAAAAAATGAAAACAAAAACAAAACTAAATTCATCTAAAAATGTTCTGCCTTACTTGTGTATTTCTGATTGGTATTTTTCAAGCATGCAGCACACTGTTGTCTTGATTTATATGTTTGCCCTTCAGCTCTGTACACCTTTATATCCCTTTCGGGTTGGGTTGATTTGGCTGAGACTTACTATGCTCAGTCTCTTTCAGTGAAGGGTTATTATTACCTTTTTATTTTTATTTTTTGAGATGGAGTCTTGCTCTGTTGCCCAAGCTGGAGTGCAGTGACGTGATCTCAGCTCACTGCAAGCTCTGCCTCCCAGGTTCCCAGTGATTCTCCTGCCTCAGCCTCCTAGGTAGCTGGGACTACAAGCATGCACCACCAGGCCTGGCTAATTTTGCATTTTTAGTAGAGACAGGTTTTCACCATGTTGGCCAGGCTGGTCTCGAACTCCTGACCTCAGGTGATCTGCCCACCTCAGTCTCCCAAAGTGCTGGGATTACAGGCGTGAGCCTCTGCGCCCGGTCTATTATTACTATTTGTTATTAGAGATGAGGTCTCACTATGCTGCCCAGGCTGTTCTTGAACTCCTGAGCTCGTGATCCTCCTGCCTCAGCTTCCCAAAGTGCTAGGATTGCAAGTGCGACCTGCCACACCCGGCCAGTGAGGAGTTATTTTAGAAAATACTTAATTTTATTTTATTCATCTCATTTCATTTCTAGAGATGGAGTCTCACTTTGTCACCCAGGCTGGAGTGCAACAGTGTGATCTTGGCTCACTGCAACCTCCGCCTCCAGGGTTCAAGCAATGCTCCTGCCTCAGCCTCCTGAGTAACCGGGACTACAGGCATGCGCCACCACTCCCGACTACTTTTTGTGTTTTTAGCAGAGATGCGGTTTCACCATGTTGGCCAGGCTGGTCTCAAACTCCTGACCTCAAGTGATCTGCCCACCTCGGCCACCCAAAGTGCTGAGATTACAGGTGTGAGCCGCTGCACCCAGCCAACACAGTATTTTAAACAGTAGTTATTTTCAACAATAGGAGTGAAAAGGGTGATGGACACATCAGAAGGTATCACTCTCTACTAGTGCTCACAGCTGTGGCACACCTACAACAGGTTTCCTTCCTCTGGCCTAAAATTGCTCAGACCACTTAAGTATATATAGTCCAGGCTCCATCCTCTGACCCAAACACAACAAAAACAGATCTAACAATTATATTTTAAAACCCGACCAACAGAAATGTCAACATCTACGTATCAGATCAGAAAAAACTGAAATGGAGTAAAACTACTTAGACAATGAGAAAACACATAAAATCTGTGTTTAGAAGTGAAGTTTATGTCTTCAGCTTACTTGAGAATGTATCTCCAAAAGAGAGATGGACAGATATGTGATAAAGCAAACACGGTAAAAGGTTAACAATCGGAGAGTCTACATGGTGGATATTTGGGCACCTACTGTGAAATTCTCTCATCTTTTCTCTATGTTTGAAGTTTTTTCAAAATGAAATGTTGGGAGTTTAAAAAAAAATAACGAAAAGCTGTAACAGGAAAAGTCATTGCCTTAAGAGTTTTTATCATTAAACAATAAATACTAAAAACAAGTGAAATGACTCAACTTAGGAGGTCAAAAAAGGAAAAATACACGATGCCCCAAGACAGCAGGAAAATAACTAATATAGAAAAACAGCATGGAATCACAGAAGGAATTTTTAAATTTCAAGACAAGATAATGTACAACTAAATCTAAGACGATCACAGGAAAGGATCAGTTAAATGTGCCTAAATCATGTCCGAATTTTTTTATCACGTCAAAATTTGAGTTACAACATTTTAGTCAAAGAGGAATACTGTGCCCTTATTTATCCTAGATTATGATTGAAATCAATTTGAAATCTGTATGAAATGAACATATTTTTAGGATAACATAAATTGGCAGAACTAAATAAGAAACAGAAGTGCCAAGGCACAAATGATCTTCAGGCCGTTCACACTGTTCTAGATGCATGTAAAAACATTTAAAGCATCTCAGTTCATATGGCACAAATCTGATACCAGAAGATGACAAATAGCAGAAAGAAGAAAACTGTCTACTTCATCTAAATAAATAGATTTTAAATTCCTAACAGAAATACTAGAATATACAACCTATTAAAATAATATATTATGACCAAGAACAGCTGTTTCACAAATGTTAAGATGGCTACATGTTCAGAAATAGACAAATATAATTTGCAACATCAATAAGTCAAAGGAGAAAAACCCATATGACCAAATCAATACTATGTCAAAAATGCATGTGAAAAAAATTAGATGCCCTTTTAGAGTAAGGCAATAATACTCAATAGGGTAGAAACAGAACAATCCTTTAATCCTTTCTTGATATAATAGAGTATCTATTACAAACCAATGGCAACATCATCCTTAAAAAGGAAACACTGCATTATGCTGGTACACTTAATGGGAGAAAGAAAAGAAAAAAAAAAAGGAACCATGATGTCTGCATTTCCCAAAATGTATTGAGTAGAACACATGCCCAAGAGCTAGCCCCAATATACTCACCTCCTAGGAATTAAAAGACACATTAGCATAACCCACCTGAAAACTCCTGGAGACAAGAATCCTGTTTAACTCAGCAGTTCGCAAACTCATTTAAGGGTGAAACTGTTCGCTCAAGGTACACATATTAACACTCCAAAGAATTAGCGTTCCCTGGAGCACACTTTGGTAAACCCTTAAGTCATTCCCATCAGCGCCTGGGAAGATACTCGAAGTTACCTGCCATCGCTACTCTTACTTAACATTATTCTAGAACTTCTAGCCAAAGCAACAAGACAAGGGAAAATTAAGGCAAATAGCCATTAAAAAAAAGGGACAAAATTACTATTACATGCAGATATAATATGCGGACTATTTACAAGGAAACACAAGAGAATTACTTGGAAAATGTTAGAATCGGCATCTACCAAGTGGAGGGTTTCAAAAAATTATACAAAAAAAAACAGGTAAGATAATGACAATAAGGTACAACCGACAATATAACAACAGGATAAAACACCTGGGGTGGGGAAAGATAAGCAAAAAACAGGGTCAGCAAGAAAAATACAATTCACTTTAATACGGACAAAAGCCTGTATAAATGAAGAGAGAGAACATGCTTCTGGCAGGATGATTCAATACTGTAAAGACAGACACTTTCCCCCAAAATTAATTATGTTATATTAAAAATATAACATAGCCTAATGGAATCTTTTCTTAGAAACCTGACAAAATAATTTTAAAATGCATCTAGAACATTGTTGTCCAACAGAAATATAAGACACCGCATGTGTAATTTAATGCTTTCTAGTTGTTACATTTTTAAAAGTTAAATAAATTATAATAATATTTTATATAACCCAATATATCATTGCAGCATGTAATCAGGATTAGAAAGTTGAGACATTTTACATTCTTTTCACACTAAGTCTTTGAAATCTGATGTGTATTTTACACATAGCATGTCTCGGTTTGGACTAACCACATTCCATGTGCTCAATAGCTGCATGTGGCCAGTGGCCACCAAACTGGATAGTGCAGATCTAGAAGAATAAATACTAAAGACATTTTAGAAATAGACAAAATATGGCCAAACTTATGGACATCAAAATGTATGATTGGGCTATAATTCATCGGCTAAGTATGTATTAAGTGTCAGGCACTAGGGATCCATGGGAGTTTTAATTCTCTCATCATAAATCATAGTAAGAGCTATGAGATCTTTCATGACAGGGGAGTGGTCAGAGAAGCCTACTTGAACAAATGCTATTTTAAATAAGACCTAAAGGACAAGTAAAGGTTAGTCAGATACATGTGGGTATCGGGGTGCTCCAACTCTCCAGACAGAAGGAATCACATGTACAAAGGGTTGGGAAGGAAGGATGTGCTGGAACTGTGTGCACAGCTGGAACAAGGCACAAGGGGCAGGGCATAAGCCACATGAGGTTGTCAAGGTAGAGATTAGACTGAGATAGTCTCTTGGGCCATTTCAAGTCAGCAAATAGGGGAGAATTACTGAAATAGATGCTGCTTAGCGAATTTGAATTAATAATAAATTTAGATCCTTCTTCACAGCATACCTCAAAATAACCTCTAGAAAAGGCATTTCTAAGCACACAAAGATGCCAGAAGAAGAAATGTAGGTTTAACTACAGGAGAAATACAACTTTTATATATCCAAAAAATACATTTTTAGCAAAAAAAAAAAAAAAAGAAAGAAAGAAAGAAAAGGCAAAGCAAAGAAAAAAAAATGCATAACAACTTCATCAGTAAACAATCATCAGCCTGAGGACAAGTACAGAGGCTCATGCCTATAATCCTAGCACTTTGGGAGG